GAGCCGCATGCGACTATTTGTGGACCAAAGTATAGTTTTTATGGTGTGAGGACTGTCGAATTAAAATTCCTGGGATCCGACACTAAGCTTGCCAATAACAACGTTACAGAAAGAAATAGGTAAAAAAAAAACATATAAAATTACTGGATTTAAAGCTGTGATTTTAATTGCGAATAAGCACTTCATAACAAGATGTAATGGTCAGAAAAGGGTGAATCAAGTGGAAATGCATTCTAGATTTTTAAATTTGCCGATTTCTTCGCGATCTTTCCGTGTGCTTAGGTCGAGGCAAAGTTAGTTTAGTCAAAAAAAGTTTGCCAAAAATTGGTTTCCGAACTACTTTCGCTTGATTCATTTGTTTCTTTACGTACACGGAAACGCAACTGCTTCATAAAAAAGAAAAAAAAAAAACATTGAGCTTACTGTACAGGGTGTCACAAAAAAAAAATTACACGGTCTGTTTTACCGCAAAAATAAACTAGGCATCGCCGAACGTTTATTCTCCGCCCAAAGGTAGAGCTAGAGGTCAGATCCAGATGACAAAGTTTCAGCCCGATCCGATAGCTTACTCAAAAGTTATATAAGTGATTTTCTGAAAAGTTCAATGGGAAAATGGCGGCCGACGAAGTTTTCCAATACATGGGGCTCTATGGCGCCAGAAACCGAAAACGGGCGAATATGGGCCCCATTTTCCCATTCGGCGTACTTTTTTCGGTGTCTAATTTAAAATTCAATTTTCGGTTTTTTTCGGCGTTTATTTATGCCCACACAAGTTTTTCAGCTTTTTTCGGTGAATATAAAATAAACACCAACGGACACCGGATCAGATTACCCTTGTACCTCTAATATTTGTGATCACTCAAAGAATAACGGCACAGATACATCGAACAAGAAAGGGACACTTTATTTTGCAAATGTGTCGAACTGCAAAAGAAGCAAGAAAAACAAAACAAAAAAAAAAAAGAAAAACACGAGTACAAATAAGCCTATGCCCCGAAAACATGGAACTTCACCTTATTTACATCAGGATTAATTGATCTTAGTATAGTATCTACACACACACACACATGCACTTTCCCAGGTTCTCCTCGCTGATCCGCACTCTTTCTTTCCTGTTATTTTGACACTAAGATTCGAGAGTGCCCTCTCAACGCTAACACTGGACGCTGACAGGCTGAGGAGATGAAGCGCCGCCTGAGCCAAAATCGGACAATCAACCGATTGTGACCGCCAAAAGAGACACGCTGCGACGTTTTGAAGCACAACACAAAATGCAGAGCTTGCATCAAGTCAGTATTACTTACGACGAGTTTCAAAACACGCTCGTACATGGCGAAGTAATGGGGCATTTCGGACTTCTCATTCTGATCGATGATGCGCACATTAAACCAAAACGTCATGATGGCACCCGTGTATCGCATACATTCGGACGCGTTTCGATAGACACTGTCGTTCCACTTTTTCGCCACGGCTCTGCGGTACGACTGGAAGGTCAAAGTGACCTTTTCCGTTTAAAACTGAATTTTAGATAATGGACTCGACGTACCTTTATCGGTTTTTATCGGTTTAAATCGAAAATGCTGAACCTAAAAACTGACCTTTTTCGGTTAAAACCGAATTTCCGAAAATGGATTCGGCGTACTTTTATCGGTTTTAATCGGTTTAAACCGAAAAATCCGAGCCATACTTATAACTTTTGATTAAGTAATCCGATCGGGATGAAACTTTGGCATCTGGTTGTGACCTCTAGAGCTACCTTCGGACGGAGAGTGAGCGTTCGCGATGCTAGTTTATTTTTGCAGTAAAAAAAAAAAAAAAACCGTATAAATTTTTTTTGTGACATCCTATATAGACGCTTTACACACGCGCCAAATTACAGCCGCCATGGCTGACCTTCTCTTGTCTTACCGAGATGCCGAGCAACTGAAACGGTAGTCGACGACCCTCTACAAAGGCCGATGCTTTAGAAAAGGACACAGTTAAGTCTAATATGGCAATAACCTGGCCTGCTATGGTAATGATGAGGTGAAATAAACGAAATAAGAGAAAACAAAAACTAAAGGTAAGTTAGGGCAAAAGGCAACTACTCACATAAGACCGAAAGCAGAGGGAGATAGCGCTGTCTCCTCCACCTTTATTTTTGCAGCTCCCCAATAAGTAACACTTTTGCTCGCGGCTCTTGGGTGATGTCAGTTTGGTCGCACCTGGTCTAAACCAAAGGTGCCACTGTGTGTGTCGCGGTTCAAAAGCATAGCCTTTTGTGTGTGTGTGTGACCTCAAAAAGTCTAGAAGGATTTTCGTCTAAACCAACCGGTAGTTGTGCTTTGTTGGTTGTTTTAAGGTCTATTCACACGATGCATCTTGTTGGCGAATCTTGTGTCGCGAAACTAGGTTTCAGGAAACAGATTCCCCGTCTGAACGCGACCGAAAAAGTGGCGCGCCTCCGAAAACTGTGGCGCGTGTTCCTCGCTTCTGGAGCAATTTTTCGCTAAAACCTCACCGATGCCCGTCAATCACCCGAAGGAGAGATGCGAACGCTGCCAATGGCCGCTCGGCTTCGCTATGAGGTCTGACCATCGAGGAGGAGCGAACTCTTATAGGAGTCTGATTTTTGGCCGATTCCGTATCCGGGCCAAAGCCGAAAGAAAACAAACCTACATGGCGAGCGACAGGCGGAGAAGCAGTGCGTATGGGCGATAAGTCTTATTGGTCCTACCTACTCGGTTGCAGGTGTGTGAACGGCGGGTTGGTGGCGCGGTACAAGATTCATCAACAGTCGCGACGAGTACAAGCACCGTATATAAACATAATGACTGGGGATAACTTTCTTTATTAGTGGTGCAAAAATGTCCGAAATGCTTCGAGATCATCCGCCTGATCTTTGACGTTCGCGGTCCTTCCCGGGTTTGGCAGGACTATAGCCAGTGAGCCGCATCTGACGAAGTTCATTGAGTGGTATTAATAAAGCAGACTGTCGTTTCAGATTGTGCGTACTTCATATCATTTTTATAGGAAACGCTTGGTATTCCCGGTGCAGATGACAAGGTTTGGCGAAATTCTCGTGAGTCAATACGTTACAAGTTTCGCGCGTCAAACTCCACGTGTGAACAGGCCGATTTCGTGAAATCTTGGTTTCGCTTAACTGTAGCGCGTTGAAAAGATGCATCGTTTGAATAAGCCTTTACGTAGTTTGCTTTGGGATGTAGGTAATGGTTTTTGACGCGACCTTGAAAACCAAGATTCTCGGTAGATCTGTGGCGGTTGTGGTTCTGGATGTAAGGAGGGTAGTTGAATACAATTATTACCTGAGTTAGAGACGTTGTCTGTTCATGTTACTTTTCCTTCCACTGTAAAAAACGTCTTCATCCTTCGACACCAGTCTCAGGGTAAAATCATCATGGCACCCTTCATTATTTTCGTGCGCGCTCTGGTGTTTACGTCGTTTGTTTCTTATTTTGATCAAGTGTGCTTCAAATATTAATATAATCAAAAACGAAATAAATAGGGATTGTATTGTGTCGTAACATTGACATGAGAGTTAAGACAGATCAATATCTCACGGTCCAATCGTTCGAGTTATTTTGTATATTAACTGGCAGCCTCTACCGTACACACTAAACGGACATTAGCGTGCATAAATTGATGTGTTTATACGCAACCTTAAAAGTGCAATGAATATAAACTTGTCCGGATAACTTTGAGAAACTCAGGGAGAACAGAATGTGCCGTGCGTGCATTATGCGCGCGCTTGTTATGCCTGGTTAAAGAATATTTGGCTGCAGTTTTGGATGCGTCGCACACACTCATTTACTCGTCGAGTATAACACAAATGACGAGATTACATTTTGTCAGGAGTGGGGTGTGTGAGGGATATGTTTTAATCAGAAGTGTTCGCGGCTTCTTCCGAAAATGCGTGTAGCGCTCCATGCTACACGCACTCGCTACACGCAAGAAAGTGCGAATATATATTGCGAGAAACCCTTTGAGATAACTGGAGTTATCGCGAGGGGAGGAGGTTTATTGCGCCCCGCTAATCTATCGATTGGCTACCGTTCAAAGTGGTTTCCGTCACACATCATACGCGCAGCTGGCACCCGAATGACAAAATCAGCTTGCCCCGTGAGTGGGGAGATGATCTTCTTCATTCGGCTGCGTGTTCCGATGGTCGTCTGTTGACGCAGGCTCCGGTGAATCTTCTTACTTGGGCTTTGTTTTTTGCGCTCTTTTTCAACTCGCAGTGGGCCGTTCGTCGGGCTGCGGATCGCGCGGTCCGGGGTTCGTTTCCAACCGAGCCGCTTGGTAAATCTCGGTTGTTACAAGTAATCACGAATAATTATGAATACGCTCGATTAATTAGAACTAAGATAGCCTTCTGTTTGGATGCTTCTGAACTGCCTACTATGGGTTTGATGCGTTTTATGTTTCACTGTGAAGTGTGTAACGCTTTTTTTCTTTTTGTCCCATTCGAGCTTGACAATTTTCGCAGGAAATTCAGCCGACACGCACAGTCTCTGTAAATAAGGATACAAATATTTAAACTCGACGCTGCTTTTAGAAATTGAAAATTTTTAATGAATATTTGCGAGTCACTTTTATTGCAAAACCATACCTGTGCACGAAAAAGTAATTAATACAATGTACGTTGAAGTAAAGATTATATTACCTCGGGATGTGAAATATGAGTATGATGTATCGATAAAAAAGCTTCTTAATATTTTCACGCAATAATCTGCCTAAATACAGTTTAAAGGAACCCGAACGAAGACGCACGCTTTTCATAGAGCGGAACCATCAGCGACCTTCCAAAACTCCCCTTGCAAACAAATGGTTCCGCCCGTTAGCCCGACGCGCGTGCCTATGTCGCCGGTGAAAGTGGCCGTCCGTCGGTGGGGGAGGGCGTGGCCGCCGAACAGAGCATCATCCAGGCAGCCCGGGCCCCCTCGTGAGGTCCTCCCCTCGAGCGGAGGCGCCGGCGTCGTCCGCCGCCTGAGCGACGACGACGGCCTTGCCCTTGAGAAGATCGCGTCCGACGGTCCCGGTTGTCGGAGCATCTGGAGCGCGTCCAGAGGGGGCTCCGTCCGTCCTCGCAGCCACGCCGAAGCCCCACCGCCGCCACCGCCGAATTCCGGGGGGGCTCCTTCTGCCGCCAGTCGCGTGGAAACGTGACCCGCTTGGCGCTCCACTTCCTCGTCGAGGTCATCGGCAGGTGTGCGTGCGTGTGTGCGCGGCGGACGGAACAGAAGACGCCCTCGGCGCTGGGGTCTTCCCCGCTCATCTGGGTCAGTCCGCGTTCCGGGCCAGCTCCTCGCGAAGAGCGCCGCCGCATTTGGACGTCGCCGTACTCGCCGAGAGTCTCTCCACCCCAGCTGCACAGCGGTTCCCTACCTGCGCGGGCATGCGCTCAGCCCACTGGCCATGAGGGTCCCTCGGCCGGCCTCGCTGCTGCCGCTGCTCCTGGCAGTCCTGCTGTTGGCCTCCCCACCGGGTGAGGCGACCGAGGCGTCGTCCTTGTGCCCTAACCTAAGTGACGTGTGTGCTGTACGTCCCTGCAGGTCGGCTGGCCGGTGCCGATTCGCAGCAGCAGTTCAAGCAGGATGCGGTGCCACCCGACGTACAGGTGAGTGCATCACTGACTGCGTTTACCTGCTAGATTGTTTCCTTTCTAACGAAGAGGCGTGAGCTGGTACGATAATAACCATTTAATACGTATACATCCTGGCATTGAATTGCAGGTGGTTAAATTGGTTACATGGCTTTATTGGTCGCACTCGTACATATCATGGCATCCGTTGCCGATGTGTGTCCCGTGTCTAGTGCCCCTCTCTTGACGATACTCGAGCCAACGGAGGGACCCAGACGTTTTTGTCCTAACACAGATACGGTTGGAGTCCTCGAAGGCATCGGCCTGCGCTCTCCTAGTCTCTCGTGTAAACATCGGATAAGAAAGTGTTGGGAAGTACTTCAAGTACACTTTACTAATAGTACTACTTCAAGGAGGTTTAAAGTGCCTGTACTTTACTTGAGTACATTCTCTGAGGATGTGCTTGTACTTGACTTAAATTATTTCTTTCTCGTACCTTTTCGAAGTGAGCACAACTCCCGACTTCAAAGCACATTCCCTAACTTTGATCTTGTTAAATTTGCATCTCAAATTGATGCTTCGTCAGGTCTCAGGCCATTTGAGTTTCTGGAATATTCGCTGCCATTTCCGAAAATAACGGATGTACCCCCGATTATCCCTGGGGCAATAAATACAAGTAAAAAAAAAAAGAAGAAAAAAAACTGTACAGTGTAATGAAAGGGCATCATGAAAGGTTATTTAAAACGAGCTTGTACTTCACTTTGAGAGTACATTGTATTTATAGTACTCTACTTCAAGTACATTGCGTCCGGTGTACTCACTACTTCAAGTACATACCTTCTCATTCACTTTGTACTTTAGTTAAAGCACATTTTAGATGTGCATTACCTAACACTGGGATAATGTGGCGCGTGTCTGCTCAATTAAGCGGGAACGCCGCATTACCAAACAGCAGTCGTTTACTCATGCATGCGCCAGTAGCGGATTGAATTGAGAGCCAACTAGTCACGCGCGGTAGGTCTCTCAGCTTCCTTGTCTTCCACCTAATCACAGTCGTCATCAGTGGCGTCATATCTTGATTCGATGACCTAGGGTCGCATCCATGCATCCGCGGTAACTGGCTGATTTTGCGTGACTGCCACCGTAGTGCGTCGCATTGAAAGATGACCTATCAAACAGAGCAAATCACTCTGCTTCTTTCTCTTCGACGCAGTCACTGTCGTCAAATCTCGATCCGTTCCGGTCGCAGCCATGTTAACGTAGCCACTGATGGTTTTAAAAGGGCGAGGCGCACTCTGTCCATGGTTCTTGCTTTGTGGTATTTTACAGCGCCGCTCTTTGGCGCCTGTTTCCGGGTTGCACTGCGCCGACATGGCCTTAAAAACGGGTTGCATTATGAGACGTTTCCCATAATAACGTCACGAGGGTAAAATATTCCGGCTAAATTTGGCGGGAAATGTTGTGATAAACTTGGCGGGAAATTTTTACGCTAACTTTAGCAGAAAAATTTTCCCTCCGAATTTAGCGAAAAATAATTCCCGCAAAGCTTAGCGGAAAACGTTCCCGCCACATTTAGCAAAAATGTCCCGCTGAATGGGGGGACACAGGAGAGGAGGAAAGGAGGGTACGGAGGGGCAGCAGGGCCATACATCCTCTCCGTACCCTCTCTTCCTCCTCCTCAAGAGCTGCGCTCTAATTCGGCATTACAGGTAGTTTTAAACATCTTTAATTTTTTTACCTTTTTCTCGGCTGCAATCTCAATGGCCGAGTATCCCCGGAAGCCGCAACGCCGTGCCTTTCATAAGCTGTCAGAGAGTTGCACCGAATCGCAAACGATCTGTTGGTGACTCAGGACCGCCCTGATGTCTCCCGAACGTTCCACGAAAGGGTTTCAGGCAAACCCTTCCGTCGTTTAAAACGTCACAATCCAGAGTGCGGTTATAACTGTCAAGCAGCACGAGCGTGTCTCTTCGGCATGAGAGGTGAGCATGTACGCTGCAAATGTACGAGCTCTTAGAGTAGCAGCTGCTCAGAATGGCAGCGAAGTCTGTTTGTGGAACAGGAGACACATTCAATTTACCTGTACAAGCCTGCAACGGTTCAGAAAGGTGTAGCGCGGAGCAGAAAAGTGCGAGTCAGAAATGTTCTTCTGGTTGTATTTTCACCTAGTCCGCGCTCGTAGATCGTATACGGTGGTCGGCACCGAGTACAGCCGGTACAGGAGATGCAGGTACCTGCAACGAGCCTAGTTACTGGAGAAGAACTTAAGTCCGGTTCAGACATACAGCCCAGCGCAAAATTGGCGCTGGAAAACGGCGCTGATGCAGCTCTGACATGCACGTGACTTATGGCCGACGTGCTACCCTACAGTGGTGATACAAATCCGCTGCATCGCTGCTGAATAGACAGCCTGCATTCATTTATTGGCCATTTTGGTTGGGGTGGCAGGGAAAAAAAAATATAAAGCATTCGCCTGATCAGGGTCCCACGCCCCAAATAGGTTTCAGCGCGATGGAGCAAAAAAATGAAGAAACAAAATATATAATGAAAATAAAACAAAGCACAATGCAGTGTGCCAAACCAACACAGCTCCCACGGTGCGAAAAACAGAGCAAACGACAATGCAGTGCAAAAAAAAGGAACAATCCAATGTAAAGGAACACAATGCTATGCAAAAAAAAAAAAAAAAAAAATACTTCAAATAATATAATTACATTTCTACGCCAGGTTTTACACTTTTTCCAATTTTTTTTTCATTTTTTTTTCTTCAAATATTGAGAGATGTCGCTATTTTGTCATACCCGAAATTTGTGGATGCCTATTGAGAAGTTGTGTAATTTGCTGTGTTAAAGGGATACTCAACCAAACAATTTAGTGTCCATAATAAGTGGCGCACGATCTTTCCTCGAGCCACGAGCAGCCGCCGGTGCGCGAGAGCACACGCAACGAAATTGACGTCATAGTCCCCCATTCGCGCTTAAGATGACAGTGAAATGTATGGTCTTCGGGCCAAGGGAGAATAAAGACAGGCTTTTAATCTCCACAAGAGAAAGCTACGTGCTCGTTAGACCAATAGACCATTCTATTAGCAAGTTTGACTACGCCACCGTTGCCGCAATGCATCGAGGGAACTTTAGGCTTTCGGCACATGCGATAACCTCAGTGGAGCTTTGCGCGTGTAGAGCACTAGACGGCACGAGCCCTCTCGTGAGCTGCCTTTTGCCTCATGTGAACTAAAATTACGGCGCCGTCACACGTACGCCGAACGCCTGGTGAGATCGGTCAATTGATCGCCTACCTTTTACACCAGACCCCACTTCACTGTCCTCTTAAGCGTGAATGAGGGACTATGACGTCAATTTCGTTTTGTGTGCTCACGCACACCGGCAGCTGCTGGCTCGTGAAAAGATCGTGCGTCACTTATTATAGACCATGGAGTTATTACAAGAAACGCTAGAGGTTCAGGTGGCTGTAGTGTGCTGTTGCATTTTGAAGCAGACAGCAACAGTCTAAATTTGACTCCCGGTATTGCATTCTTATGGGAAAACGCAAATGCATTTTCTTGACGCGCTTGATTATAAGAGAAAATTTTGCTTAGTGTTGTGACAGAATAAGAAGTTTCGGATGTTTTACAATCAGATGTGCAAAAGTATGTGTCAGAGCGTTTTTCTTCAGATTCATGGGGTTGAACACTGCACTAAGAATGGCCCAATACACATCTGTAATACGTGTTGACGTTGCAGACTGATATTATAGCGCACGCATTTTCACATATAGTCAATGCTACGAAGCACACAGAGTGAATCAGCTTGACAAAACAACAAAAGGATGCTAATATAAGCCAAATCACACAATAACAATAAAAAAAAAGAACAAGAAGGAAGCAAGGAGTCACGGAACGACGAGCACGTACTGGATTAGTAACAAACTGTGCATTAGTAACAAACTGCGTTTCCGTCATCTGAATGCAATTGCAGATTGAATAAACCCTATGCACTTTTTAATTGTTCTTTTAGAGCGCAGCTCTTAGTCGCCCCGTTTGTGGGTTGAGCGGCGTCGGCGTCGGCGTAACCGTGAGTAGCATTATGCGACGTGTGACGTCACACGTGACGTCACGAGGGTTACCCTTACGAGGGTAACACTGGGTAGCCCTCACGAGGGTAGCCCTCACGGGGGTTAGCCTCACAAAGGTAATCCTCACGAGGGTTACCCCCACAAAGGGAACCCTCACGGGGGTAACCCTCACGTGGGTTACCCTAACGAGGGTAACCTTCACGGGGGCTACCCTCACGAGGGTTACCCTCCCGGGTTACTCTCATGAGAGTGACCCCCGTGAGGGTCACGAGAGTAACATCAAAACGTTACCCTCATGACGCCACGTGTGACGTCATAATGGGAGACACGTGACGTGTGACGTCATATGTTACGTCACGCGATGTATGACGTCACACGCGACGTCACGTGACGGCACACGCATCTAACATTGCCAATATTCTCGCTAAATTTAGCGGGGAAGGAGGATGCGTATAACCTTCCCTCCTTACCTTCCCCTCCTGCTACTCAAGAGCTGTGCTCCGATTCGGCGTTACAGAGAATTGTAAACCTCTTTCAATGTTTTTTGCTTGAATTGATAGCTTTGTTTGACATATCACGCTGTACAACATAAACCTGGGCTTCAATTTTGGTAACTTAAACATCGCTCTCTAATAACAAAGAAACCATTTACTAAATAAATTACACTTTTATTGTGTGACTAAGGCTGCGTAGTACCCGTTACGATTAAAGAAACCACGCTGATTTCTATTATTCCCTGGCGAAGAGGAAAATATCACGTACGCTTTCCCATAGGAATACACACTAGGACTGGAAAAGTACACTGTTTTCTCTCTGTTTTAATATGCAACCAGAAGTCCCGTACACACTAGCGCCAGCTGAGCTCCTAGCGTTCACTGTAATAACTCTATGCTATAGACCACGGCTGGCCAAGCTGCCGCTAGTCGCGTGCTAAAGTGCGGCTCGTGCTGCACATGCTTGCACGCACGTGGGGCACCAGTCGAGGTGCCCCGCTGTTGATCGTTTTTAAACACACGCCAAATTGAGCCGCCATCACCGATCTTCTCTTGTTTTTGGCAAGATGGCGAACCACTGGAGCGAGTATTGACGAGCCTCCACAAAGGCCTATGCTAGGGAGAAGGACAGAGTTGCAGCGTAAGTGGCAATAACCTGTGCTGCAGTGTCAATTATGAAGTGAAGCGAACGCAATAAAAGGAAACGTTAACTGGAGATGGGCTATAGCGGCACCCATGCACAGCTGCCTGAAATCATCTGTAGACAATGGACTCTTTTCGAGAAGTCGTTTACCCACCATGTGCAGAGCCAAACCCGACGTACAGTGTTCCCCACGCTATAATGGCGGCGCTACACAGCCGCTCCACACCAGAAAAAGCGATCGTTTTCGAAAGCATAGAGCAGAAAGTGGAAGAGATGTTTGTCTTTTTACATCACCTTGGGTTCACGGAATTGAGGGTGCTTAATTTAGCCAAAGCATGATCCCGCCATTCCGCTATTAGAGAACCAATGTTGGACCTTTTGGGACTACCTCAAGGTGACTCTGACTTTTGGAAAGGGTTAGAGTGCCTTCATACACACGCGCGCTTTTGCTTGAGTGGTGACATCTCAGCCATTTTTCCGCCCAATCGTTTTTTTATGCATATTTAAGTGCGCGCAATCCGGTGTCACTCAGCTCGAGCGCGTAGCTTTGGCTGATGCATAGACGCCATCTTACCGCCCAAGTCAGGCACCGAGTGCGCGAGAGCGTCACGTGCTGGCACATTCCGGACAACAATGGATGTCTTCACCCTGAGACAGACAGACATCTAGGCACCCTAGAAAGGGTCTATTGCAAGCTTAGCGCCCCAACCGGTGCCCCATAGGAAAGGATCACGCCGGCGTGGTCGCCTTTGCCACCTATTAGTCGTAGAGAGCCTACATTGTAGAGAGGGTCTAATAAGTGAAAGCATGGAGCGTGTTTGCAGTTTAATGGCGGACGCTTCGATCGGCGGTTCGTCTCAAGTGCGCATGCGCTGCGTTATCGCGTGACTAGGAGGAAAACAAGCGGAAAGGCGGGGGTGTTCGCGGACGACCAACGCGTTCGTAAACTGTAGCTCGAATATTGCAAACGCAGCCCGTAAACTACGGGACCTCCATCGAGCAGTTGGAAATTCTTCGTAATACAGGCTCTCAATTGTTTGCTGCCACCTAGAGGTTGTTGCCGCCTACTCGTGGGGCGGCATTTGTGACGAATTGTGCGGGCCTAGTGAGCCCGTCATTATTACGACAGGATATGCGAATACCGCGAGCTTTTTCCTCGGCGCAAAACTTGAGCGAATGTAATTTCAATGCAGCAGCTAAAAAGAAGCTACCGATGAAAATGCTCTGTTTACCATTGGGGCGCCCTGGTCGAGACTTCAGTTATCTGCGCTCCTTTCCTATGCGTGAACGTGCCCATAGCAGGCTTGTCTTCACGTGCAGAGACATGCCGGCGGCCAGACTCTTCTACTCATCCACCTGGTAGGTCTATCCGGTACAGGCGACGAAATGATTATAAAACATTTAAACGTGCAAATAGTAAAAAAAATATATAGATAAATAAAGGGGAGGCAAAGCGAGAATGGGGGACGGTTGCGCCTATATCCTAAACGTATTCTATTGGCGTGGCTACGTCAAAGCATTGATTTCGCCCATACTGGAAGTGATAATATTCAAGATGGCGGCGCCTTTTGAAAAAGGTCTATACACGAATGACAATAGTGCATCAGACCGCCGCCATATGCGTACCTCTTGCGAGCAAACTCATGTAATAGACCCCTTTTGAAAGACTGCCCCCTGCTGGCAGCTGTGGGATCCCTGCACAATGGAGGACTAAAACCGCAACGTCACGGCACACTTTATGCGCATAGTTGGATTAGAAGGCAAGAACACTCTTACAAAAAAAAGTGATGAGCGCAGTGACGTCGCACTTTCGACTTTGTTTGATTGGCTCGTCGGCTCTAGGTTTAGCCGCGCTCCAACGTTCGCTATCTTAGGGAATTACTTGCACGTTCCAAGATGTCGGTTGTTCCTCCATTGTGCGGTGGTTCCCACCTCCTAATATTCGGCGCGCGAATTCCGAAAAGGGTCAGTAGGGCGGAAAAAACAGCGGCCCTTTATTTCGGGCTTCTGAGTGATGATACACATATGGTAGAAGGACGACTACAGATCTGGTTCTTATGTCGACAGGTGACGAGCCCGGCGAGCGAGGACTACTACGACAGTGACTACGAGGATGACCCGAGCGAGGTCAGCACGGCGCGACCTCCGACGCCAGACAAGGGCACCCCGTTGTTGCTGCCCGAGGTCACGTTCGCGTGTGTCGGGCGCAGCGAAGGCTACTACGCCGACGTGCAGCTGCGCTGCGAAGTGTTTCACTACTGCAAGCCCGACGGCGTGCGCTTTTCGTTTGTGTGTCCGCCAAAGTCCAGCTTCAACCAGAAACTGCTGATATGCGACTACGACCCCGCTGCGGTGTCCCTGTGTGCCGACTCGGACCTGTTCTTCCATCTGAACGATGCGCCGGCCGCCAACGCCTCTTCGACTCCGGTCAACGAAACGTCACTGTCGACGGAGGAACCCGTGAGTACGACGCAGAGGCACCGACTTCGCAAACCTGTTACCAGACCCGCCACTGTCCCGACACCAAGAACAACTGACACACCATTGACCAGCAAGACTGTGAGTCCCCAGCCGGTCTTCGGAAGGCCCAACCTTAGGACCACTACGGTTCCTTCCCCTACCATGTCGACCACCCCGCAACCTCCTATTACTCTGCCTTCTTCGGTGCCAACGCCTGCCCTGAGTCCATCGGCGACCCCTGCCTCCATCCCGGCTGCCACATCCCCTCCCCTGGCGCCCGCCGACCAGGATGACGAAGATGATTGGATTGACGATTCCTACCCTTCTGTGCCCGCGAACTCGTCTTCAATCTTTGATACGATTCGCCAGGATGCCTCTGCCAACGTGTCCCTACCTTGGGAGAGTTCCCTGGGATGGCCGCAACTCGGAAGTCCGTGGAGTTCTCGTCAGGAACACTCGCACTCCGTGCACTCGTTGCCAGAAACTACTCGCCACTGGTGGAGACAGACTTCGCCGCCTTCGGAGCCTGTGTCATCAGTGTTGTACTCGCCGCTGCGGGACAGCGCGCAGTACGCAGCACCACGGGACGTGCCGGAGCGGGTGCCACCGACGAGCGAACACAGCCACAGCTACACACCGGTATTCGATAGGGACGCGCTTTTCGAACATCTTCGGCAAGCTTCGGCGGAAGAGAGGCCAGAGGACGCCTACTCCACTAGATACCACGACGACGGAAGACGTCTGTTGGAGCCCCCGCACAGCAGGGTTACGTACTCTGAAGAACAACATACTCATAACTCTGGGTACACGTCCCCTTACGATCACATGCAGCATGACAGTCCGTCACACGACAGGCACGCAGCATCCGACGCATCGAACGACCTTCAAGCGAACTCTTTCGTGGTGTACGACCAACGACAGAACATTGACGAGAATCGCCAAGTGTACGATCCGTATGCCGAACACCCAATGAGGTATCCGCACCTGTACGGAGAGGAACACTACTCGCGGTCTCACGAAGGTCATCGAGTTGGACACGACGTCGATGGCTCCGAAGCGAGTAAGCACCACTTCTCATCGCGGATTACAGATTTTAAGGGACACGAAAGCCAAAACTCCGAGACTGCGCCTCATCCAGGCGTGCACGATATCGTCGATACCTCTTGGGCACGATTTAAGGATGGTGGGGCGTTTCGCTACGAAGGCGTTGCCTCTGATAGTAGCGTTACTGAAGTTCAGAAGTCCGAAACCGAACCTAAGGGCACGGTCCCACCTCCATGGAAGCCCATGGCCGAGGTCTTGATGGGCAAAGAAACGCCCCGGCTTTCTGGGAGCTACCACAAGACGCCGTCAGGCTATTTCGAATTCCGTCACGGCTGGAAGAGCTCAATACGGAAGCGCTCCATACACAAGCGGCTGAAACGCCAGTTGCTGTCGCGGCTCTTCAAGCGGCAACCCATCCGTTTGCCACAATTGAATTCACTCGAGCCACCGCGGGGCATGCACGTGGCCGAGAATAACCGGTGGATGCCCTTTCCATTTGGAGTTTCGGGCTTCCATCCTGGCGCCAACATGATGCGTGTGCCGCCTCCCCCTCCCGGCTTTCAGGCGTCGCAGGAGTTCCAGGCGGACCACAAACCGGAACAACCGCCAATGCAAATACCGCCACAATTTTTCGGTCGACCGCCGCCGCCGTTCAGGAGGCCACCGCCTTTTTTTGCTGAAAACAACTTCCAGCAGAACCACAAGGTTCAGAGCAAGTTTCAGCAGGAGGGGATGCAGGCGCAGCAGTGGGAGTTCCCCTTCAGTGGACCACCTCCGCGTGAAGTGATGGTGCGTCCTGGTATCCAAGGTCCACACTTCCCAGGCATGAGTCACGGGCCGCCGAAAGAAAACGGTCACGGCCCCACGCCGCGGCCACCGTCTGTTGACACGATCTACCACTCCACCACGCCGAGCAGCTCTATCGAAATTACGCTAAGGCCCATGACAGGCGACGATGACAGCGGAGAAGGTCAGTCGTTCCCAGCTGGACACGAAGCCAGCCCACCGAACCTGACCCATATGCAGCACCAAGAAGAAATAATTTCGTACACGCAGGACCCCCACACTGCCAGCTCGCCGTTCGCTGTCAGTCCTACGCCGCGTCCGGGAGAGTTCATTACGGAAGTGGAGCCCCCACAATTCGCATTAGGAAACCACGAGCCGCACGGTAACTCAGCCCTGTTTCACCACACGAGAGAGCAGTCACCCGCTAAAGTCAACCTGGTCGCGCAAGACGAACTAATTCGCCAGAGCGGACAGACGTTTCCCGTCAACCACCACGTTCCCGAACATCACCAAGAGCCGCAGGGCAACATGAACCCCCACGTCGTACCCGATGTCCGCTTTGGATCAAGGCATCCAAACGTTAGACCACAGTTCGAAAACTTCCTGCCTCCCGCCTTTTCGAGCCGTGAACCACCCCGTATGTCGCCACAATTAAGTTACGTGCAGTGGAAGCACCAAAAGCCTCCTCAACCGGTGCAACGCCCACCTGGCCGTGCTCCAGAAGGCATCTACATTCCCGCTCACATCGCCAACATGCGCGTCAACCCGCAACTCATGATGGGTATGGTACAGCAGCAGTCTGCTCACGTACGGCCCCAACACGGCCGAAGGCCTCCCCCAACCCCAGACGGCGTCTATCCAGGTCGGCCGGGTCCGAGACCGCCATCGTTCCCCGGACCTAAACTGGTCCCACGTCCGATGCCTCCTCGTCCAGCCGAAACGCATCCTGCGAGAGCACCCCAAAGGCAGCGGCCTCCACCCGAGCGCCCCACTGTGAAGCTTCCGGTTCAGACAGCGCAGCCTGAGCAACAGGTGCAGTTACCGCAAATTGTGAAGCCATCACAACCGGCACGTTCCGTGCCGCCCATACCCCCGACGCAGCCACCGATAAAACCTCGACGACGGAAGCCTGGACGCAGGCGTCGTCCTAAGCCGTCCACGCCACTTCAGCCGCACGCGGCACGTGTGCCGGCAACCGCTGCCCCCAGTGCTCACGACAGAAGCAGTGTCCCACGCCTCCGTGGCACCCCAGTCACTACTCCATATTCCATGGAGCCTTTGACGTTTGGTGGCAGAACAGGTCCTCATGGACAACGGAGACCAGTGACAAATAACCCAAGATCAACTTTCCGCCCGGCAACAGCAACTAGAATCGTTACCTCGAGGACCACAACAAGGCCACCACAGACGACAACTTCACCTTATTCTAACGCCCTCAGGCTATCACTTAAGCAGAGTGTTTCTCAGAAAGAAGATGACAACAAGACGTACAGCTGGTATGGTGGTTGGACCAAGTCGACGCCCAGCCCTTCCGCGGTTCGTCACCACATGCCGACAGCCATCGAAGCCACGCTGGCTCCAGCCTACAAGCAAGCGTTCACGTTTCCTGCGAGGATTATGGCCACTGGTCAGCCCACTGCTGTGGCCACGACTCCGAGCACTTGGTCGTGGCCGAGGGAGCCGTCCAACAACTCGGCAGCGAAGTGGTCGTCTGCTTCGCATCCCGTGACTTCCGCGCCGGCCCGCATGACACCATGGTCTTCGAGTGCCTCTGTGGTTCGTGTGTTCAGCAGCAAGATTGGGTCTTCCGTGATGGCAACTAGTTCTATGCCAAAGATGACAACAACGACGACGACAACGACAACGACATCAACGACCACGACCCCTCGACCCAAGATCACCGTAGACGAGAAAGAAAACGTCATCGGGAACGGCCATGACAAAGGATTCCCTTTTGAGTTCTTCACAGACGTGGGCCTGCTGCTTTCGCGAACCACGCCACGAACAACTCCACACCCGCAGCCAGTGTATAAGCCGCCAAGCACCATCCGGGAGCCTGTGACGGAGGTGGTTACTGCAATTTCGTTCAGCGAATCTGGACCCGTTTATTTTCCCAAAGGGTATGGCGTCCAGCGCAACAACACAGTCTCTGCCGGAGCCTGAGGCCGGTGCTCTTGGAGCTGGGTCCCCGAGAAAACTGACACAGTCCCAATCGTCTGCCCGAGTGGGCTTTGATAGACACTTCATCGGAAGCAGCAGAGGACTCAGCGGTCTGCAGTGTCCGGCTGGAACCAGGTCTCAGAACCGCAAGAGAAGACTGAGAGTGGTGCCTACTTAACGGAGCATAATCCGGGAATTTGACAGAACTAACTCAAAAAAAAAGAGTTACCGCCCCAGTGCCTTGTCCCATCGCCATAACCTCGTAACGGATGACAGCCTACACCACGGAGGCCTAAAGAAGGACAGTTGGGCGTCCTGTGGTATGCTATTGCTGGCAGGCATACGGGGACGACGGTCCTTCCTTCGGAAACCAAGCACTGCCAGGTCTACGCGTACGCGCTTCCGACACATGCTTAAGTTATTCCTTCATCTTCACGTCACTTAATACCTATTTCGAGCTTACAAGTGAGCGCTCGAAGTCCACCGATCACCCAAGAACTCCGTTCGCGAAGCTGACCAACTAATGAAGCTTGGACTAGGGTCCGTCGGGGAGAGAGCAGTACTGGCTGCACCTTGATCGTGGACTGGTTTCTTCACGATGTCTGTGAAGTTCGACTGCAGATGCAGTGCCGTTTGAGACGAAAGCGTAGACGCTAGACAGAAGCTGGTCTTTGAATTATGCCAAGAATAAAACAAAATGGGCATGTTGCTTTTGTACATTTCTGCACACGTGGTCTGCAATATAATGAGAGAATAATCAGGCGTAATAAGGTCGTATGACATGTCCAAGCGCTGACAGGTGGCACCACACCCAAGCGGCCGGTCCTGTCCAGGTAAGTAGTATATTTTTAATGCGAAGCGAAGAGAAAAACTAAAATTACGCATACACATTTCTTTTTTCTTAGAAATTGATAGTCGAGAAGTTTCACGTTTCTCTCCCACTTGCTGAAAAAAACCAAAATAGCTTATGGAAAAATGTCAGGTTCACAAAATGTTTTACAGCTCTATAGTGCGCATTTGCGAGAAGATCGAACTATAGGGGGCGCAGTTTCATTCCCATTATCATCACCGCAAACGATCGCTGTGTGGCAAACAACTCCGACGCCAGGACTCGCCTACCGGACGCCGCATCGTTTTCGCGCTCGCTGCATATTTGTTTGTAGCGACATGGTGCGCACTTTCTGCTTACGCAATGCTCGAAGCATGATTTTGAACCGGGTATATGCAGCGCGGAGGTCTGCAGCGTACGCGACGATACGAACACAGTCCGCCGCTGGCTCTGGCGCAACGCTGCACTCGATAGCAAGATCAGCAGTCGAGCACGCCCTCTCCTTCAACGAGACACCGCTTGGTTTCGCCGATGTCGTCCATGATTGTCGCAAGAGACGGGGTAACTGAAAAGTGATGTGCATGTGTCGTGAATAATTTAGAAAAACCGGACGCCTCGCCGGCCACGCACTATGCAGAGCGCGGCCGACACGACGCGGCTGGCCCGGCACGGGGGCTGAAGCAGGTATTTTCAGAAAAGGAGAGGTGGGGCGGGAGTCAGGCGTATCATTTGTTGAAGACCCACCCCCTTTTCCTGTTTCCCCGCTCTAAAGTTTTACACATACAGAATTCAAAAGGGGGGTCAGGATATCCCAACCCCTCTTTTGAATCAGTCATTACCACGCATGCGCTTGTTTTGCCTTCCAAGAGGACTCCGGTGACATTGAACGCAAAAGGAGCTAGATTACTTTTATCCATATACGTCCAGGAGAAAAGAATAATGCCACATATATTTCACGAGCCCTGTGTCGTCGCCTTTTATGACAACGAATGCACTAATGACTGCTGCCGAAGGGTTTGTTTGCCACACAGCGTTGGTTCTGGAGGTGGCCGCAAAGGAGCGCCACTCCTCGATATCGTTCCCAATAGAAAGATATTACTGCATGTACAAGCTTATTGTGCATAAACGTGGGGTCATTCACTGGATTACTATATGCAAATACACGCACACGTTCACGTATGCATAATCACGTGTCTTCAAATACGCGCGCTATTAATACATCGTCCTTTCGCATGGAGCTAAATTCTTTTACGCTCGTCGACACCGTCAAGGAATACTGAACCGATAGTTGCAAAAATTGTTTGTCGGAATGGCATGTATGACACGCCTTTGAGTTTCAAGTTACGTTGTCTCGAGCGAGATAGTGTCAAATATTTATTAAATTAAAATACCGTTTTTTTTTTTATTCTTACAGTTCTATTTAAAAAAAAGCCATGAAAGCTACACTTACCCGGTTTTTGCGAGTGAGCTATACACCCAGGGGGACATTACAGGGGAGGCTAATCTTCGCGATAAGTCAGCTAATTAATTGAAATTCGTTAATTAACATTTTAATGAGTGAAAATGGTCATAGGATTCCAATTAGGAATTTGCTGAGCGTCGTCCAAAACCCCCATATTAGTAATTTATAGAAAGACTTTGAGCGCATGAAATAGCAAGAGTGCGCTGAAGTTACCACTCGTGGGGCAGGTACAAGGCTGGGGATAAGAGACGGAAAAATCGCGCGGGCGCCCTACCGCAACCGCCTGCCTTGTACGTACGTACTCCACGAGTGTAACTTTAATGCTTTACTACGCTTCTCACGCGCTGAAAGTCTCTCTGAAAATTACTGATTTAGTGGTTTTCGATAACGCTCAGAAAGTTTCTAACTGGATCCGTATGTCTATTCACTAATTAAAAAGTTAATTACCAAATTTTAGTTAATTAGCCGGCTTATCGCAAAGATTAGCCACTCACATAATGTCCCCCTGGGCGTATAACTCACTCGCACAAACCGCATAAGTGTAGCTTTCATGGCTTTCTTTTCAACAGAACTGTAAGAAAAAAAAACAAAAAAAACGCAACCTTCGGTGCGCGTTTTTTGAACCTCGCTTCGTGACGTCACGTTACTTGCCTGGCCAGGCAGGCCACCTTGGGCAGGCGCTCTGCCCGGTCGAGGCTAGGTGGCGCAAGCTGCCGCCCAATACAAAGGGCATAGCCGCGAGTTACCTATCCAACCGGTATTTGACAACCTCAGCCCGTTCCGTGCTCTTCAAGCGTGCTCGCAGCTGCTTGTGCACTGTACCCAACGAGGTAGAGGGGCTTAGAGTGATAAACCGGAAGTTCGGAAGTGGCACCCCCCCGGTTGCCGCCATATTTTACGCAAATGTGACCACTCGTCACGTGACCTCCCAAGAGCCGTGACGTCACAGGTAAGATGGCAGCGCCCAGAGCTGGCGGATGCGAGTTTGTTCGGTGCGCGGTAGCCGTGATGTGCAGCTGCTTTCCGACGATTTCGGGCTTCTTCGTGCTCGCTGACGCAGGTATAATGTGAAAATATGAAGGAATGAGACTTTATACCGTTTTTTGCGCAAGATCGCTCTGGATCATCTGGATATTAACGCCTGTGAGACAGCATCAGCTCTGTATCGCCGTACCGGTGCTCGGATTCCGGGATGTGTCCGAGGACCGATAGAACTTTGAGTGCTTTTAACATGAAATTTTCGCATTCTCTTAGCTTTGTTTGAACGTTGAAATATCTGAGAATCTACGCGAAATGTATACGTCGCGTTAGGGCCTAAGGGAAGTTGTTTCAGCCCTCCGTCACCGAACAACCATAGCAACTTTTAGCGAGGAAGCTCCTGCGATTCTTTTGTTTTAATCCACGATTCTACATTCGATCGCTTTTCTTCCTTTTATTTTTTTTTGTGTGTGTGAGTGCGAAGTGCACCCTTATTTTCAGCTACGAGGATGGCGTTTTATTGAGTACGGGGAAGAATAAATTGTTGCAGGCACCTGCCTCAAAGCTATTCGGCTTGCTATAAGAACAAGTGTTTTGGTGCATGCATAGATTAACTGCGCATTTTTTCTGTTTTGTAGGATTTATTGCAGCTATACTCTTTTCCATCAAGAGTGCATTGTATTAGTCGGTCAATTACTTAATTGTTCTAATTACCTGCATAAGATGATTCACATTTGTGTTCATCCCTTGCCTGGAGAGCAGTCTTGTTGAAAAATGTTAACTACCATTCCTTTCGGTCTCTTCAATAGACTCTTTTTAAAAGTGTGGGCTGTCTATACTTCGCATCACTGTAACTTAGAAAAGGCCAACCGCCACAGCCCCCTCGAGCCAATCAGAGAGACGGAGCGAAGGTGTGTGACAAATCTGTGCAGACGAGCACTCTGGTGATATGTTGTCATGTGCCTCTCTCCAATGTGTGTATTGACTCACCGAGACCGTAGCCTTTGCCGTCTGCCAAATTCTGATGAAACAAATTACAGTAGCTACTACTGTAATTACCCCAGGCTTTCAGACTTTGGGCATTTGTTCGACAAGAATGTTATCATGTCGTATTACACCTGAGACTGCGGTGGAGGAAATTTTGAGACGTTCTCTGTGTCTGTTCCTTCTACTGAAAGTTCTTCCGATTCTTCCACCGCAGTCTCAGGTGTAATACGACATGATTAGCTACCACAAGCTCGCCTGCACTCTCACCGTCTTTTCACTAAGAATGTTATGTCCGCCATCCCTGTGAATTCGGCTCAGCACCTATTGGACTCGAATGCTGCATTAGCGTTCGACGTGAACTGGGGCCCATTCGTGTGCTTTACGCCGAAAAAAAATGGTGACAGTTGTGTTGTTTGATAAGGTTCTGCAAAGGGTCTATTGTGTCATACATATAGGAAGTGTCATGCTATATAACAATGCATCAACACATACTATTAAACTATATGCTCAGAGGTGTGTTTGTTTTTCCACTTAACAAGTTACAGCAGTGTGCTTTAATGCTATTATCATGTGTGTAGTTTTAAGTATCCTCTCTGCAATGTCTACGAAGGCCCCTGGAAGGAATAAATTAATAAATAACATTTTCACATCACTGGAGTTGGTTTTCGGATGCACCAGACCAGATGTTCAGGAAAGGTTGAACTAGTGCAGCCCCTTGCAAGAAGTCTGCCAGTTTGGTATGACCCCTTAATTAATATTGAAGGGTCAGAGATGAGAGTGTCCTCGCAAGGTCCAGAGCGTGCAGTGGACACAATTCTCGGTGTGTAGACTCTCAAGGCATGGAGGCAAGCGGAAATATGTTTATCTGGTTAGTGTATCAAATATGTTTATTTCCACTTGATTACATAATTATTGATTCTTAGGAAATGGTTCCATAACGAGTTCTTTCTGCGACAGTCTCGTGTCAGCCGTTTAGTCGTAGTACCTGTGGACCTTGTTGTCGGATGACGCTCCTGGCACGTCGGTGTTCAGTTTGGTCGAGTGGCAACTTTGACCGACTGATACTGTCTTGTAATCAGACGTCATGTGCGGCCACTGACGTCTGATGCACTGAAGCTACAGGGCTGGCTTCTAATCCGAAAATTTTCCTGGTAGTTTTCGGCATCAATGCTCGGGCATGTATTGCTTACGTGGCTGCGCCTTTTGCTGTACCGTTGACTTGATAGCTGGCAACAATTTTTGTTTGCTATCCAAGTCTGGTGATGCTTGCAGTTCACTTTTGAGAGCAACCAACCATTCTATTCCTTCAAGTCACTCAGGGGCATTCTCCCTCAAAGTTAGAAATTGTGTGCTTCGTGGAGTGGACACAGAAAAGTGGTGTCAGCAGATTTTTAGGTATTGTCCTTGGACGACAACCGACACCAAATCCACTGTCACTGCATCGCCGCTCAC